TTTCTGACAGACGGTATTGTTTATTGTGTTTTTGTGTGTATTTTTTATGTGTTTATATGTGTTTTGTAGTCGATTTTAGGTTTGTTTTAGGGACGACCGGTCCATTTTGTCGTTTATCGTTAGTTTTTATGTTTTTCTTTTTATTTTATATTTTGACGTACTTTTCCGTCTTTTTAGGTGTAAATTTCAGGTTTATTTCGAGGATGGAGAGAGAGAGAGTGAGTTGAGCCACATTCCGAGAGACGAGCATTTTCCGAAGAAGTCGAGTTTCCGAGTAGTTTCAAGCCATTCCGTGCGAGTTGTTGATTGAACCGAGAAGTTGGAGCCTTAGTCAATTTCGTACCGAGATGTCGCCCAGCCGTGCCCGCGAGCCCGCCGAGAGAGCCGCGAGGTCGAGAGCTTCATTCTTGCCATAGCCGCCAACTCGCGAGCCCGTCGGAGGAGCCGCGAGGGCGAGAGTCCCATCCTTTATTCGAATGTTGCACTCGCGAGCCCGTCGGAGGAGCCGCGAGGTCGAGAGTCCCATCCTTTATTCGAATGTTGCACTCGCGAGCCCGCCGGAGGAGCTGCGAGGACGAGAGTCCCATCCTTTATTCGAATGTTGCACTCGCAAGCCCGCCGGAGGAGCCGCGAGGTCGAGAGTCTCATCCTTCCTTCGAAAGTTGCACTCGCGAGCCCGCCGGAGGAGCCGCGAGAGTGTGCCGCGCCCATGCATGCATTCAGTTGCGTGCTCGCGAGTTTCGCCGCGAGATCGAGAGTATCCCATTTAATCTGCGTTTTTAGTATGTGTTTTGATGGAGTATAAATAATTTTGAGCCTTTGCGTTTTGGGATTATCTAGCTCATTATGAAATGTTTCTCTTTTTGGTTCTTAGCTTAAGACTTTTATTTCCTCTCTAGTGTAAGTGTGGATGCTTGTTACTCTTTCCGGCAACTTTTTCCGGTGACTTCTCGTTTATGCAAATTTTAATCTCTTTCTTCCGATTTCGATCAAGCATGCGTTAGGGATGTGAGTACTCACTTTTAAGCCTTATAATCTCAATTTTCGTACTTACTTGCTATCTCGTGCGTGAAAGTAATTAGAACTTGCTCGTTTATTGGATTTTTAGTAGCTCTTGTTGTTGTTTTCGTTTCCTTTTCTTTTGTGAGCTTGTTTATGATGCTTGGGGTTGATTGATAGATGATTTCTTCTTGAAAAATCGTGACTTTATATTTAGCTCGGTTGTTTCGTAGTAGGATTTCGGTTTTGGCTCTTAAGTATGCTAAATGGAGTTCGTTTCTCTTACTTTCGCTTTTGTTGCTCTTGACTTTGTCCACCAGTTTGGTTGCTAGGATTTCATAGTTCGTTTACTTGCCTTATTGCTCGTTTACTCGCTTTCTTTAGTCATTTCTCGTTCGAAATCATCTCAACCCAAATTTATTAGAATGTTTAGGCTTTATTCTCCCCTTTTTGTGATTTGAGCAATCGAATAGTAAATAAAGCTCCGAATAACCTTCCCTCGAGATCGACCCGAGAAGGGTAGCTCGGTTATCCTTTACCCACACCAAAATTTTACTAAATAGGTATTGCGTTATATCACCTGTAAATATAAAATTGGAACTAGTGTGGAACGTGTGCAATGCACGAATAAATAATACTCCCTCCAATTCAATATAATTGACGTTTTGGCTTTTTACACAGTAATTAAGAGATATTTATTTTCTAATAATACCCTCATTAACTCAAATTAAAATTGTGGACCAATATGTGAGAAGTGGTTATATGAAGAGACAATGCTTATTAGGTGGATGGGGTAAATGTGGAAAAATATTGAAAAAAAACTTAAAACGACAATTATTTAGTAAATGAGCCAAAATGCCAAAACGACAAATATATTGAATTTGAGGGAGTATTAAATAACTGAATAATAATTATAGATTAAAAATGTTGGTAAACAATATTAAATGAGAATTAAAAGTTAAAATTATGGAGTTAACATGTGATATACAATATAAAATTAAAATTGCACGATCCAATGCGTTTCAGGCATCCCGTGGACTCTTACTTTTCTGCTATTGGCAAGTGCCCGCGCACCGTCTCCGTTTATTGGAAAATACCACTCCAACCCGTTGAGCCATGTGGTAGTGCCGGTACCATTGAATAATTTTAAATTCCGCCACAGCCATAAACACCAAGCTGTGAGACTAAATAAGGAGTCTCGGTTTTCCATGAGGCCCCCAGATAAACTTTGCCAGGAACCAACTTCTAAGGTCCAACGAAAAGAAACACACTCCACTGAGTGCTAGGGACCAACCTCTTCCAGGTTTTAGTCGCCTCATGACAGTCTCGTAATGCATGTAGCGTTTATTCATAGTCCACCAAACAAATCGTGCATGTCGAACTCGGAGTCATGTGTCTGAGGTTGCCGATTTTCATTTTTCGATAAACTATATCACGAGCCGCAAGCCAAAGGAAGTAACTGTCGCGTTTTTACATCACCTCTTGCAAAATAACCAGCCGAGAAAATTGAGAACTGAATAATACGAAAGCCAACTTACACAGAAACGATTTTGCATGCCATTAATGATATATAACTTTTTTATTTAAATTGTATTATATTATTTTTATTAACCGTAGGTACTTATTTTTTGTTTTAGAAAATACTTTCTAAAAATGAATAAATATGTAGTTTAACCATATTCATTTTATCTCCCCCTTCGTAAAGGTGAGATTCTTTGCCATTAATGTTAGCAAAGACTAACTTACTCTTTTGGGTTGACAAATTAATTAAAAATTAGGGTTTAATTTATAATCTCAATGTTAAGTTTCGGTGAAATTAATGTGGGTGAAGGCTGTTAAAGATCAGTAGTACTACTGTGTGCCCTGGCACACCTAGCTAGGTGTGCCAGGACACATTTTGCACGCGCCTCTCACTCCCTAAAATTAGAAATTTAAGAGAGTATTTTTTTATTATCTATAAATAGAGACCACATTTGATAGATTTTTTTAACACAATTAATTTTTCGATTTTCGTAATTATTTTATTATACTGGCATATTATGAACATGTTACATAATAAGATGAACATGTTACAGATTGCAGATTGAAAAATAATACATATTCATCTTATTTTATAACATGTTCATCTTATTCTATAACATGTTCATTTTATTATGTGACATGTTCATCTTGTTTTATAACATATTCATTTTATTATGTATGTATGACTAATGACCAATTATTTGTAACATTCAGCAACCATTAATGGGTCCTTTCCCAACCCATATACACGATGGCCATTTTATTTATTTTTTTCACGTTTGGGCGCCTAAGTTAGGCTGATTATTGGGTACAATCTATTCGCCCACAAAAGTACTTCAATATCCTGAAAATAATCATAAATATATCATAGCACTTAAATCTATCTAATAAATAAATAAGTCAGAAAATATATAAGTGTGACAAAATTAAGCATATAAAGATACACTCATAAATATATAAATTACACACTTTTTTCTGACCAATCAATGTAACATGTTCAGCTTATTCTATAACATGTGCATTTTATTATCTAACATGTTCATCTTATTCTATAACATGTTCATTTTATTATGTAACATGTTCATCTTATTCTATAACATATTCATTTTATTATGTATGTAACGTGTTCAGCTTATTCTATAACATGTTCATTTTATTATGTAAATGTTCATTTTATTCTATAACATGTTCATTT